ATTCCGGCACAGACCATTCGTTGATCGAGTGCGCCTCGACTAAGCCTCTTGTGGTGTCAGGTGAGAAGCACTACTCTCGGTAAGACCTGAGCCAGGGTCAAGGCGAGTGTCGGTATGTTCGGTGTGCATGGCTCTGGTTGAAGGAAGTACTCCAGACAACGTGCTTCTGACGCTCACGCACTTTGTGCTGGCGTTAAAAATCCACTCAGCTGGTGCTGCATACGATTTGAGACGTCAAATATCACTCGATATCTTTGACTTGCGGTGCTGCTGGGAAAATGTAGGCGTCACTAACTAAAGAACGTTCCGAATAGCAGTTCCTTCAACAGTCTTGAACCTTTTGTTCTGGACAAAGCACGGACCTCATTCATGTGATCCCGACCGTTACCCCCGATGCCATTGGCCAGCAACGTCGGTCGAAGACGATGGCAAGCTCTCGGCGCCAGGAGTAGCGCAGTAGGTATAGCGTCATAAACATCAGGAGATCAAAAATGGAATGGAGTCCTCGCGTCTGTGGATTTGACCAAGTCGCCATGGCCATGGAATTTGTGTTGAAGCGAGTGTCTACACTGTCGCTTTCTTTTTGCCTAGTCGGCTCCATGAGAGATCATGGGGTTCTATAGTACGAGGGACGTGTGCCGAGAAACTTGACCTTGGAGACTGACCTGGATCCGTAGAGTCGAAGAGCCCTGTCCAGGTCATCTTCATGGCGATCCGGAGACACCAGACGAGGCAAACGGACACACTCTCACAACGTCAGCTCAACTGTTCTCTCTATCTGATGGTCTCATTCTATGAATGCTCGGCATGCTCTTACAGCTTGCCCGTCTTTCCATAATGCGCCGACTGCGATCCTTGAAAAAGTGCTGAACTCAGCTCCTGACCTGTCAAGTGACGGTGAGATCACGCCCATGCAGGCATGGAACAGCATTCGATCGCGACCTCGATTTGGAGGAGTGGACTTGCACAAGTTTCAGGCGCTTGCCGAGGGGCTGTGAGACGCGGTTTAATGCCACGGATATGTCACTGTAGCAAATTGGCGCCTCGTCAGATCGTTTGCCGGCACTCGCTAACGGCCAGTACTCGGCTTGGAGCCGTGGTCAAGACACAGATTTTGGAGAGGTTGGTGCACGAAAAGCTCGTACTGGGGCAATCGTTCTGATGCTACTCCTGGAGTGTACGGGTTTTGCATATGCAATGCATGATGAAGTTCACGATGATGGCTTTGCGATTTTGAATATCAGGGACTGCAGATCAGAGATTTTGCTGGAATGCTGATCGCAGTGTCTGTTCAACTCAGTGATCGACGTGGCCGCCGGCCGGTGTCTCCCAGTACTGCTTTAAGGTACATACACCTAGGTAGCCCGAGTAGTGGGGTTGGGTGCACTTTACGCGTCGGACGCGTCTCGCCCGCCAATTCCTCTTCACCTTTCCAACTCCCTGTCACCAGACCACACAACTACGGCCTCCGCTCGAGGTCCGCCAACACGCCATCGCCGAGCTTTCAAAACAACATCATGGCGGACGCAGAATTGCAGGAGCGTTTTGGCTCCGGTCACGACTCAATCGAGCCAGACGTCATCAATGAAATGCAGTCCATCATGCGCCTCTACGAGCTCTCTGCCGAAGATTTGTACTACAAGTGGGGAGTCCTACTGCATCAAGATGGAGATGGATGCGGCGACAGTTTACGCTCCCGCCTCTGCGAAACCTCAAGCAGGATATTCAGGATGCCCTGGAGAAAGAACACCCGACAACAGACCCAGGTCAAGACGGAGAAGAGGGCGGGCGCGACACCAAGGGCAGCACGGGCTGGTGGCGATGTCTACGGCATGCTCGACGGCTTGTTGCCGAACACGCCTGCGTCTGCGAGGAACAAGAGCGCGAGCACCAAGAAGAAGCCCTACGAGACGCCGTCCATGTCGAGGGTAAAGGGCGTGCCCGCCAGTTCGCCGGACTATAAGAGCAGTCCCATGAAGATGGAGGATCATGTCAACTCGATGCTACCGTGAGCGGCCCCTTGCTATTCTTGATGGTCATTCATGCTGACCAGGCAGACCGTCTTCCTTCAACGACCGCCCAAACGCCGGCGAGATCCTCGAGATCCTCAACGAGCACCTGCAAGCCCCCGAGTCACCCATCTGTCCCTATCCAGAATCCCGTATTAAGTTGACGGCGGCCTCCGACCAAAAGAAGCTCGCCTACAAGCCAATGGGCATGAAATTGTCCGAGGCCCTCTGAGATCCTAGACGACAGGATAGACGACTTCATGGAGCTGATCCAGAACCACCACCAGCTCGATGCCTCCGAGTTCGGCAGCGCCGCCAACCAGAGCACCTCACCTGTCATCGCAGTAGGCCGCATCGCCTCAGATTCCCCAGAGGGCAAGCTGAACGCAGCCTCCATAGTTCTCGAAACGTCACGAAGAACTGGCGGTGGCCAGCGGGTGCCCTTGAACATGGGTCAAAGAGGATTCAGCTTCTTCCCCGGCCAGATCGTTGCTGTCAAGGGCATCAACTCGTCAGGCAGCGAGTTCTTGGTCGAAGATGTTCTCGACATGCCGCTCCTCCCCAATGCTGCATCCTTGCCAGCCACACTGGCGGCTCATCGCGAGAGGCTGCGAGGTGACCCAGATGCCATGGACTCGGACTCTGACCCAGCGCCGCTGAACGTCTTGTTCGCTTCCGGTCCCTATACTGCCGACGACAACCTCGACTTTGAGCCTCTGCAAGCGCTCTGCAGCCGTGCCGCCGACACCTATGCCGACGCTGTCATCCTCACCGGTCCCTTCATCGATGCTGAGCACCCCCTCATCGCCATGGGTGACTTTGACCTTCCCGAGGACGCCGTCATCGACCCAGACACGGCCACGATGACCACTGTCTTCAAATACCTCTTTACCCCCGCGCTCAACCGCCTCGCTGCCGCGAACCCCGCCGTCACAATACTCCTCGTGCCTTCCGTCCGCGACATCATCGACAAGCACGTGTCCTGGCCCCAGGACACTTTCGCCAAGAAGGACCTCGGCCTGCACAAGGCGATCCGCATCATCTCCAACCCCATGACTCTCTCCGTCAACGAGACGGTCATGGGCCTTTCCTCACAGGACGCCCTCTGGGAGCTGCGTCACGAGGAGGTTGTCGTCGGAAAGCCCAAGGACACCGTGTTGCTATCAAGGCTCTGTAGGTATCTGCTCGAGCAGAGACACTACTTCCCGCTTTTCCCGCCGGCGGATCGGTCGAAGCTGCCGAAGACGGGTACGGAAGAGGGACTGCCGCCCGGAGCCATGCTGGATGTGAGCTACCTGAAGCTGGGCGAGATGGTCAACGTCAGGCCGGACCTGCTGCTGGTGCCGAGTTTCCTGCCTCCGTTTGCCAAGGTAAGCCTGCTGCATTCCCTGCACTTTATTGTCTGTTTTCTTATGATTTGCTGATGCGGCACAGGTCGTCGAGAGTGTGTTGGTCATCAACCCTGGAGTGTTGTCCAAGAGGCGAGGTGCTGGCACATACGCGCGCATGACGTTGTATCCGCCCTCAGGGCGTGGGGATGGCGAGACCATGGTCAGCCATCAAGTGTTTGACCGAGCGCGTGTTGAGATTACCAAGATTTAGCAAAAATGCACAAGGCATGTCCCATGCCAATTTTCTTTCAGACTACAATGGCAGAGAAGAAGATGGATGGGTGGGTATCAGGGGTTGGGTATCAGGTATTCAATTTGTTGTTCCTCTGGCACGGCTACGCATGGCCATTGCCGGCTCACCTGTAGTCTACCCGGCGTCGCTTGTCACTCTCGTCATGGCGATTGCCATCTCGCGACGGACTGCGTTTCCTCCGGTCACGGTCGTCACGCGAGTCTCGCCGCCGCCGTGGTGATCCTGAGCGCGACCTGTGCCTCCGCCTGTCGTCATCGCGGCTACGGTCTCGCCTGCGGTAGCTATCGCCCCTGTCCCTGCTCCTGTCCCGGCGCTCTTCACGATCTCTCTGCGACCTCTCGCCGCTGGGCCTGTCGGGCGCCCTTGATGACCCACCCTTCCTCTCGCCCAGCGGAATAGCGTTGGCGCCATTGCGGTCGTCCCGGGAGGCGTCGGGCCTGAACCTGTCGTCGACGTCGCCGTACCGTCCCGCATAGTTGCCGTCGCGATCGCCCCTGCGGTCGTTGAAGTCGCCCCAGCGTCCCGTGTCCTCTGACCGCAGGTCCTTGTACTTGGTTCCGCCCTTGCGTCCGAGCTTCGTCATGTCGCGCTTCTGCAGGTACTCGGGCAGCACGCTGCGGTCCTTGATCTCGTCGGCAAACCGCGCGCCCGCAAGGTCGCGCTTGTCGAGTCCCGCGGCAGCCGCCTCCTCGGAGAAGAAGACGCCCTTGTGGTAGTACTTTTGCATGAACCCCATCTTGCCTTTGCCCTCCTTCTCCTCCTTCTGCTTGGCCATCTTGTCGGCATCCTCCGCCTCACGCTCCTCCGCCGTCAGCGCGTCCCGCCTCTCGCGCTCGGCAATCTCGGCCTCCTGCTCCGCCAGCCTGTCCCTCTCCCGCTTGACGCGCCGCAGCTCGCGCAGCCGCCACGCCGCCTCCTCAGCCGCAGGATCCACGTCATCCTCCGTGTCGACGTCCGAGTCCGACGCGCCCCCGGCGCCCGGCCCATCAGGCGTCCTCCCAGTGCTGCTTCCCCGCCCTGCGCGCCGGAGGCCAGAAAAAATAAAAAAAACAGAAGTAAAAAAAAAAAAAAAAAAAAAAAAAAAAAAAAAAAAAAAAAAAAAAACATATAAAAAAAAAAAACACAGTAAACGCCGCCGCCGCCGCCTGGCCACCGCGCTGGTTCTTCGGGATGAATTTCGGGCGCAGCATCAGCCGCCGCGGCGCCGCCTCCTCTTCCTCTTCGCTGCTGCTCTCCTCTTCCTCGCTGGCCTCGCCGTCCTAGTCCTCGTCCTCGTCTCCCTCTTCGTCTTCCTCGGTCACGAAACCCTCTTCCGCGGCGGCCTGCGCCGCCCTTTCGGCGGCGACGCGCGCCGCTTCCTTGGCCTGCGCTTCGCGGCGCCGCTGGTCGAGGTTCAGAGTGCCCAGGGCCGAGGACGAGATGATCTTGCCGGCGGAGGGCGCCTTGGGGGGTGGGGGAATGGCGGCGGCGGCAGTAGTTCCATCGTCGTGGCCGGAGCCCTTGTCGTCGGCGTCCGAGTCGGATTCGGAGGACGAGTCTGGCTGGTGGGCTTTGCCGGGTCGGTAGCGGGCTGGCTTGATGGGGTTTGCGGTCATGCGTTTTGGCGGCATCTTGAGCGGGATGGGAGGTTCGTCGTGGTGGTTTTGGGGGGGGGGGTTGGCAAGGTGAAGTCGTGCAAGATGTGGAAATGTTTTCGAGGTCGAGCTTGGGGATGGATGTTTGGAAGTTCTGTCGCATCCCTGTCGAGGCGCTGGAGCTTGGGGTGGGTTTTGTGGAGACGGGCGACAGGTGACGGGCAGTGAGGGGCTGAGGACCGCTGGAGAGCGCTGAGGAGTGCTGAAGAGTGCTGAAGACCGCTGAAGACCGCTGAAGAGTGCTGAAGAGTGCTGAAGACCGCTGAAGACCGCTGAAGAGTGCTGAAGACCGCTGAAGACCGCTGAAGAGTGCTGAAGACCGCTGAAGACCGCTGATCGGCGCCCTGATTTCGGCGCTACACGAGAAGGCCTCCCAAGTGAACATGAATCACGGCAAACATCAAACCTGGAGCAATAAGTAGACGATCAACGACGCCTCAGAAGTCTCTCACATTATGTCAAGTCCAAACAGAATGCGTGAAATCATCTATTCGTAATGAAGAACGCCTGGACCCATCTCCAAGTCCCCGTAACTAAAATCAGAGGTATCATAGATTCTCTTCGTCAAGTTCGTCACTCGCCGCCGGCGCAGCAGCGTCCCCTCAGTCGCCTTCCCTGCCACAACCGGCGCAGCATCCATCTCTCGG